TATGCGACTTTACAAACGACTTTACGCGATCCTACGCGACTCTGTAGACTTGCTTAGAGTAATCTTGCGCGACTTTGAAAGTCGTGCGAGAAAGTCGCACACGACTTTCATGCGACTCGCATGCGACTTTACATACGACGTTTGATGCGACTTTGATGCTGTGTGCGACTTTATGCCTATTTTTTGGCGACTAGAAGTCCCATGACGGGGCCTTCCAGGGCGTTGCGTGGGTTGCGTTATCCTGAACCCTGTATTTCCGCGCGACCTTCTGCGCATGGCTTCGAAACCCAAAGGCACGGCCATGACCACACTCCCCCTTGCAAACCTTTGTCGCCGTCGTTGTGTCGCCGTTGGATCCACTTGAACGCGTCGAAATCCAACCATGTCGCTCCGCTGTGCCATCTCTGGAGAGCCCATCTCCTTGGACAATGCTGGTGATGTTGTGGTAACACCGTCAGGCCACGTCTGCTTGAAACGATTGCTGCTCACAAAACTGTCTGAAAATGGCGGTGTTGACCCATTTTCCGATGGAGGAAGACCCCTTTCCGAAGATGAATTGGTGACGCTGGCAGCATCAGGGAAGAACCAAGGAGATGTGCCTCCACCTCCACCTTCCAGGATATCCTCCTTCTCGGGTACTCTCCAACAATTGGCCAAGGAATACGATGCCGTTTTGCTAGAACTCTTTGACACGCGCAAAGTACTGCAGGATACACGGCGAGAACTGAGCCAGGCACTGTATCAGAATGATGCTGCCCTTCGCGTTGTGGCTCGAATTTCCATGGAACGAGATGCTGCTCGTCAAGAGAGTCAACGATTTCAGGCAGCAGCAGCGGCTAGTACTGGTAGTAGTAGTGCCGAGGACAATGGTGGAGCAGCACCCCGCAAAAAGGCGAGGGTCGAAACACAAGAGCTGCCGTTGACCAATGATATTCCTACGGCTGACCTTGACACTATGCTGACGGAATGGGAAAAACTACACAAGGCTCGCAGAGCCAAACCAAAGACGACCTATTCGTTGCCAGCCTCGTGGAAAGTGGCCGATTCGCCGTCGTACCATAAATCTACTTGTAAAGGACTCACGGCTGTGGCGTCATCAGACAGCAACATTGTCACTGCTGGAAAAGACAAACAAATTATGGTGTATGACACGGAGAAAAAATCCGTGGGAGCCACCTTTCACCCAAAATGTGTCGTCGCCAGTTTGGATGCCATGCCCAACGATGGTTCTGTTTGGGTGGTGGCTGCATGTGGACAGGAGGCCAGGATATACAATTCCGCATCAGAAGAAGTGCATGCATCTTGTAATGTTGGTGACACTGTTGTGGAAGTAAGCGGTCATCCCACAAACAAACATTGCTGTGCCGTCACCAAGGGTGGCAAGTTGCTCTTGTTTCGAATCGGAGAAAAAGACATGGAGCATGTCTCCACATTCTCCTCGGACCAGAGTATGGAGTACGCTTGTGGAGGAATGCACCCAGATGGGCTATTGTTCGCCGTGGGTACCACCAATGGTAAAATTGAGCTTTGGGATTTGAAAAACAAAAACATTGGTGCCAACTTATCCGTACGTATTTTTGGAGTTTTTCTTGTGGCCACGATTCTAAGGGTGGCATTCTCAATTCAATTCGTCTTTTTATCTCTCGGATTTCTTCAACAGGTTGACAATGACGATGGTGTGACGAAACTGGCTTTTTCTAGCAGTGGTTATCACTTCGCCTCGGCACATCAGTCGGGTGCGGTGCGAGTGTGGGACTTGCGAAAAAACAAAATTCTGGCAGAACTGAATGTTTCGGGAGATCAACTGCTACAATCAGTCACTGGAATTGCCTTTCATCCGGATGGAAAGTATTTGGCCTACGGCGGGACAGGTGGTTTGCACATTGTCATGCTCAAAGAATGGAAAGTGACTCCGATACCAGACGTCAAGGTTGCGTCTGGGATCGTGTGGGATTCGCAGTGGATTGCTTCCATTAGTAGCGAGGCACGGGCAGTGACATTCCACACAGGGGGAGACTAGACCAGCAACTCTGGAGAAACAATAGCGAGATGCGACTTTTGCCCGAAAATGTGACTGAATATTGTGTGGCGAGCTAATACTTGTAGTAATAAACCTAGCCTGGCTGGCCTCAATGTAATTCTTCCTGTTGACTTGTTCGTTCTTGATTGGGCCCGGCAGGCCAACGGAATGGAGGCAAGGGAGTAAGAAACCAGATCCAACATATACTACCGAGAAAAACCGTGCAAGATCTAGCAACCTTGAAAGGCCAGCCTGCTAGAGTCTGCTTCGGGGGAGAATGGAGCAAGTATGATACCAGTAATCCTAAACAAAATTGCGGTATTGCAATGCTCGGTCATTCTTTCCACCTGCCCATGCAAACACTTCCAGATGCCCTCCACAAGAAGCATATCGGCATGTTCTTTCATCCCAAGGGCAGTCATTGGCACAAGCCCACTTCAAAACCTCCAAGTAGCCATTCCCAGCAGCACCACCAGCACAGGCTCGTTCATTCCATGGGAAGCCATTCTCTCTAGCCCACTTGAAGACATCCAGATGACCGTCAGAGGCGGCATCAGCGCATGTACAAAGACAGCTATTTGCATGGGACCAGCCATTCTAGGATTCAAAGTACCCCTACTGGCAGCAGCATGACTTGCGTTTGCATTCCATGGGCACCCATTCTCTCTCACCCACTTTAACACATCCAAATGTCCACCTTCAGCAGCATCAAGGCATGATGTAAACTCATCCCATGTGCAGCCATTTTCTCTTACCCATTTCAACAGTTCCAAATTTTCCATAGCCAGCTGCTAGCCTGCAAGTGTTTTCATCCCAAGGACAGCCCTGAGCCCTGGCCCATTCAAAACCTCTAATTGCCCACCATCCACCGCACAATAGCATGTCCTTATAGTACCGGTAGGTCCCAAGGGCATCCATGTCCGAACCAATGATACATGGTGGCAGGAATCGAATCGGTTCCCAAGAAGACAGTTGTAGAAGGGTAGTTCAGGTAAATATTGGGTTACTTTGTGATTTCAATAAAAATCGGTGTTTACCGCACCTACCGGTAGGTACCCGAAATCCCAAGTGCAGGTTTCGCACGAGGATCTTGTGAAACGTGCATCATGGTCCTTTTTTGTGGTGGTGGTTGTGTTTTGCAAGTTCAACAACAACGTCAGCCTTCTCCATCCAAGAAAAGAAGCAAATGGCCAAGCCTCACAATCCTTGGCGAATAGTCAATGGCAGCAGTAATCCTTCTTCTTGTATTCTTTCTTTTATTCTCTCCAACCTTTGCCCTGAAGCCTCCAGTGATACCAACCGCAAAAATGGCAACCACCAACGGAGACAAGAAACATGTGCTGAACCACATCACACCCGAGCAGGTGGCGATTGAGATCAAGGACCCCGTGGACCCCAAGGCTCTGGAACAAGCCAAGGCCATTTTGCAAGAATTGCGTCAAAAAGATGGTGAAACATCTTCCATTGCTCCAACGGGAGTGGTTCGTTCTTCCAAATTGCTGGAAATTGGGAAACGGTTCGGAGATATTGCACAAGATGCTACCACATATGTGGTATCCAGTGAAGATTGCAAGAAGGCATTTGAGGAATTGCCCGACGGCCACCGACAAGCTCTGGTCAATATCCACGGACGCGTCAAAGCATTTGCCGAGGCGCAGCGAGCAACTGTCAAAGACATGGAAATGGATATTCCAGGAGGAAAGGCGGGGCATACCGTTAGTGCTTGCAAAGGTAAGAACTTTCGCAGTTGCAGAAAAATCAACAAAATCAGGAGGATTGACTTTTGGATGGCCAAAAATGACAGTTGGTCGAAGTGAAGTTTCGTCTCTGACTTTTGTGTTCCGGGTTATCCCATTCATAGCCGCCGGTTGCTATGCTCCTGGAGGTCGCTACCCTTTGCCCTCCTCGGTGGTCATGACTGTGGCAACGGCAAGGGCTGCCGGTTGTGAAAAGGTTATCTTGGCCAGCCCCAAACCAGCGCAAATCACTCTAGCAGCCGCCCATATTGCCGGTGTAGATCAGTTCCTTTGTGTGGGAGGAGCTCAGGCCATTGCGGCCATGGCCTACGGAGTCGATGGAGAAGGTGGGGCTGCTGCAGTTGCTCGGTGTGATTGCATCTGTGGACCCGGAAATAAATGGGTAACTGCCGCCAAGTCCATTGTCAATGGATACTGTGGAATTGACATGTTGGCTGGTCCCTCGGAAGTTTTGGTGATTTGTGATGATACAGCAAATCCCGAGGTGGTTGCTGCTGATTTGATTGCTCAAGCCGAACACGATGTAGTCGCCCGAGCCATTCTTTTGAGCACGGACAGTGACATGATTAAAAATGTGGACGCTGAAGTCGCCAAACAAATTGATGCCTTGCCGGAACCCAACAAATCAACTGCATTGGAAGCCCTCAAACAGAGCTTTGCCATCAAATGCGATTCCATCGATCAATGCGTTGCCCTCTCGGATGATATTGCTCCAGAACACTTGGAAATTCAGACTCGTGAAGCCATGAAAGTAGGAGAGCAATGCGCCAACTATGGTGGATTGTTTGTTGGAGAACACGCCGCCGAGGTTCTGGGCGATTATGGCGCTGGACCCAACCATACTCTGCCTACTGGGGCAACAAGCCGATACACTGGAGGTCTCAGCGTCTTCAACTTTTTGAGGATTCGGACTTGGATGCGCGTGGACAAGGCCGATGACAGTCAACCGATGGTGCAAGATAGCATCGTCATGGCTCGTCTGGAAGGGCTGGAAGGGCACGCACGTGCCGCCGAAAAACGACAAAAATAGATCTCTAAAACGCTAATTGCATTTGAATGATTCAATCGCATCGCTGTCAACCAGTAGTCCCGTGCCAGAAGAAGATCTTCCATAAGCTTTTCCAAGGATCAAGCCGAGAAGAGCTCGGCGGATTGCATTGCTTATTAGGCTTTCAAAGCAGTGGAACTACCACTTCCGCAGGCACGATTTTGTTTCGAGTTGTGCACAAACTTAATTGACTATTTATTTTTATTGTTTCATTTCATCTTATGCAGCAGCAACAGGTTCCTTTTCCCAGAAGCCTGCATCAGGGTACATTGGGACCTCATCGGGGACCTTCAATGCAGCTCCGTCCAACCACGGGAATTTCTCGGACCTTGTAGTTTCAAATGCAGAAATCTTGTCGCTCTTTGCCAAAGTCAAGCCAATCTTGTCCAAGCCGTTGACAAGGCAGTCCTTCTTGAAAGCATCGATTTCAAACGGAAATTCTTCTCCATTGGGACGAATCACCTTTTGCTCCACAAGGTCCACTGTAAGCTCGACACCGGGTTTGGACACATCCTCAAGAAGAGCCTCCACCTGATCCCGGGGAAGTGTCACAGGAAGCATACCATTGTTGAAGCAATTGTTGTAGAAAATGTCGGCAAATGAAGTTCCAATCATGCAGCGGATTCCCATGTCGCCGATGGACCAGGGAGCATGCTCTCGACTGGATCCGCATCCAAAGTTGTCTCCGACGATCAAGATCTTGGCACCCTTGTACCCGTCTTGGTTCAACACAAAGTCATCTCGGTTCTGACACACCTCCTCTCCAATTGTCGCGACTTCGTCAGGGTTTTTATACCGAAGCTCAGCAAATGCAGCGAAACCAAGCCCAGAGCGCTTAATTGTCTTTAGGAATTCCTTGGGGATGATCATGTCGGTATCAATGTTTTGAATGTCAAGTGGGGCAGCAACACCGGTCAATTTATCGAATTTAGGGAGCCCAGCAGCTCCCGAAGACTCAGTAGCAGCACCTCCCTTTTTTTGATAGGGTGGTGTAGGAGAAATGACTGGTCCGGGGGAAACATAGTTTTCCGTGGAGAAAACACGACTTTGGACGTTTCCAACTGCTCGGGGATCCGCGGACGGATCTCCGAGGAAGGGGAAGTTTCGGATATCGGCAATTCCACCACTGACCGCAGCGGCTGCTGCCATGGCAGGAGACATCAAGTGAGTTCTTCCTCCATTGCCCTGTCGTCCCTCAAAGTTTCTGTTGGAAGTAGAAGCACAGCGTTCCTGTGGTTTGAGTTTGTCTGCATTCATGGCAAGGCACATGCTGCATCCAGGTTCACGCCAGTCAAATCCAGCCTCAATGAGGATTTTGTCGAGCCCTTCTTCTTCGGCCTGTTTCTTGACCAATCCAGAGCCAGGCACCACCATGGCATGAACTCCTTCCGCAACCTTCCTGCCCATGGCGACAGAAGCAACATTGCGCATATCTTCAATGCGACCATTGGTGCAGGATCCAATGAAGACTTTTGCAACGGGAACTCCCTCGAGTTTTTGTCCTTCCTCCAAGCCAATGTACTCCAAGGCACGCTTGATACCGGCCTTTTTCGTGGAAAAACAAGCAGGAATATATTAGATTAGATTCGTCATGGGCCGAACAGGGAAACAAGGGCACAAGCGAAAAACAATAAATGGCCAAAAATCAAGTTACCTGTCTGGCAGCATCATTCCCTTCGGCTGCAATCATGGGGACATTTCCAGTGACAGGTGCCACATCTTGAGGACTGGTTCCCCAGGTGATGGTGGGTGCAATATCTGAGGCAGCAATTTCCACAGTCTTGTCGAAGACAGCTCCCTCATCCGAGACCATGGTCTTCCAATATTTGACAGCCTTGTCCCATTCCTCTCCGGAAGGACACATGGGACGGCCCTTGAGATATTCAAAAGTGATTTCATCTGGAGCGATGACACCCGCCCTGGCTCCGGCCTCAATGGCCATGTTGGAGATGGACATTCTAGCTTCCATGGATAGAGAATGAATGGCAGATCCATCAAATTCAATGGTGTAACCAGTTCCTCCAGCAGTTCCAATGATACCAATAATGTGAAGAATGATATCCTTGGAAGTCACTCCATCCCCAAGTTCTCCATCAATTTTGATCAACATATTCTTGGTCTTGACTTGAGCAAGCGTCTGTTGGTTACGCAGGTGACATAAAAATAAATAAAAAGAGAAAAGCAAAATGAGAGGACACCAATATTATGAAATTGTAATAATATAGTTTGATGTGTTGTGTCAATATTTACCTGCGTGGCCAGGACATGCTCCACTTCACTGGTTCCAATTCCAAATGCCAAAGCACCAAAAGCTCCATGGGTAGCTGTGTGAGAATCTCCACAGACACAGACAGTACCCGGCAAGGTGAATCCTTGTTCAGGTCCAATAATGTGTACAATTCCTTGACGTTCATCAGCCATTCCAAAATACTTGATTCCAAAATCTTCCACATTCTTTTCCAATTGCATGACCTGGGTTCGACTGGCTGTTTCTTCAATAAAAGTTTGGACATCAATCAAAGCCGATCGGTCGGTAGTGGGAACATTGTGGTCGACAGTGGCAAGGACGCAATCGGGTCGTCTCACTCCTCGACCGGCCAATTTGAGACCTTCGAATGCCTGAGGACTCGTCACTTCATGGACCAAGTGACGATCCACGTACATCAGAGACGACATACCATCATCGTCCACCAAGTGATCATCCCAAATTTTGTCGTACAGAGTGCGAGGCCCAGAAGTTGCTGCGAGGCTCGTCTGGAAAGGGACGGTGCGACCCGTTGTGGGAAGAAATGCCGACCCCCCTGGCAACGCAAGGAGCAAAAGCGAAACGCAATACCGTCCCGAAAATCTCATCTTTCCTGTTTCTTTGATTCGATGATGCTCAATAAAGGATACTGCTGCTCGATTGTGGATTTGGGATATTGGGATGGGCCAACCAAAGATAATAAATGTTCTGGCTCTATCTCTTAATACTACTTGTGCAACTTCAAACAAAAAATGCTTCGCACGGAACTTGCGAAGAAGATCTCTCAAAATTGTGGCCATCAAAGCTCCATCAATCAGTGGCGGTGAGTGACGTTCCACGTAGGAACCATAAAATACAGCAAGGCTGTGAAATAGAAAACGGAAGGGATCTTTTGCTTCAGGCCACCTGGCCACCTGCCTTCTTCGTACTTGTACCAACCTACCCTAGCACCGACCTATTGCTCCTACCGGTAGGGATATGGCACCGTGGGATCAAGCGTTACGAACGGGGGTCCTTGCTTGATAGCTAGCGACGATACCGATAGTTATGACATAGCTCTAGCTAGCAAACAACTTTCGAGCAATGGTTGTTAGCAAAGCAAGTCTTTGTACGGTTCCTTAGGATATTAAAGCTTCACTCCGGGCTCACTCCGAGAATTCCTTTGTCGGGGTAGCCCCAGCTTCCTTCACGAGGAACGGCCTGGAGCACCCACTAAACTCTATTATCCGTGACCTCTCTACTTGCAGAGGTTCAACACAAGAACCCAGTCTCTGGCAGATTGAATGAAAGAGCTTGACACCGCTGGAAAGAAGCGCTTCCAATGCAGACCCAACAGTGCTGGAGGACAACCACTCGGGGGCCTCAAAACCCAGCAAAGCTTCGGCTTCCGAAAACAGCGTCTTACGAGCTCCAAAGTGACATATCCTGTACTGCCCAAGTGGAGTGTCTGGAGGAATTTGCCAATGGATCTCGGCAAAGGAAATGCCAAACAGCGCGGCGTCCCCATTCCACACAAATTTCGTGCACCAATCGCCGTCCACATACATGGTTTTCCACTTGTTGTTGTCAGCTAGCATCTTGTCAACTGTCAGAAAAGTACCCTGAGGTCGGCGGTTGTTTCGAGGGTTGGCAGAGCGGAACGACACGAACACAGCATCTTGTCCTCGTGTGTATTCGTCCTCGGGCTCCACAATGACAGATCCAAACTCCTTTCCAAATTCTACCGTATCCACCAGAACTGGAGGGATCAAGGAAATCTGCTGGCTACTGAGATCTCGGGGCGGATCCGACGTAGACGAGGGATCCCCGTTCAACAGATCAGTCATGATTCGATTGAACTCTTGGATGTAGGCCGCAAGAGTATGTGGTCCGTAGAGCGTACTGGCAGCCTCGTATCGTTGTCCGGTGTACTCTTCGAAAGTTGTAACGTAGTGTGTATAGGAATTTGCCAACCCTGCGATCGTAATGATGGGGTCTGTAACACCCCTACTAGTAATGGTGTCAGTCATGGCTTGGCGAAGTCGTCGTCCGGCCATTGTGGTCAGCTCTGATGGAACATTGAGAATGAACAGGTCTCCGATTCTGAATATGGAAATTGGTATAGTGTTGGGGTCCCAGTCGTATGGTTGTGTTGCTTCCCCTGTGTTCAAAAGAATTGGCTTTGGATGATGGCACTGTACTTGTTTTGGGGTGGGCTTGGAGAGAAAGGCTGCAATCATGTTCCAAAAACCATTGGACTGCAATTGTAGCAACGTATCAGTAGCATTGGCACAATAACACAGCCAACAACGTGTTTGTTTGTTACAAACTCACCGAGTTGCGACCTTGCGTAAAATCAAACCTACAGTACCGTATCAAGAGTGCGGGATGAAGGTAAGAGCTTGATTGTAGGCAAGAAACTTTCGAAATCGTGTAATACGTACTGACTGCAGTTTTGGACCAGGGAATAAGTTGTTGGGGGTACGGTAGACCAAAACATGTCAGCATTCGCAGCATTGAATTCCACGACAAACGTTCCAATCACCAATCTTACCCAGGTCCATCTGTGGTACCGGCTGCAAAGCTGTAGCCCAAAGCTGCTGGACACGTTTTGGCAGTGGTTCCGTCTTCCAACACAACTGTGAGGTTGCCAACATTTACGAATGAGTGCCTGAAGGATACTTCTCCTTTCAGCTTCTTTATTTTGTTACTGTGCAGCAGCGCCAGTGCCATGTCAAACTGTTTCCTTCCAATGACTTGTGCAGATTCAAACATGTCTTCTCCCGGGCCTGAAGCGATGCACTTCTCAGCCGCTCCCCCGCATGAGGATGTCAGGACGTCGCAAGGGAGCCCTAGACAGTGACAATGAGAAATCACTGTAAGCCCACAAGAAGGATTTCGGAAAACCTACTCTCTGAATTTGGCTCCCTACCCGTGTCGACGCATCTTGGACCGTTGGTGTTGGGGGAGACATCCCCGAGATTGGTACTTGCAAATGCAGCTACGAAGCTTCCATTTCCAGGCATCGATTCGTCTCCGTTCTGGTGTTTTTCCATCAAGTACGATGCATAGCCTTTGTTGTCACCCGAAAGGAGTTGATTGGTGTTGTTCAGACTCGTGCCATGCACGCTGAACCAGTTCAAGATTCCAATGTCCTTCTCGGCTGTGGTAAATCGCAGCTGCAGCATTCTTTTGTCGGTGTCCCCAATATTCTCGTATCTCTTTCTCTCTTCCACAGGATTCAATAAATAGGATGACGGCGATCGATTGATATTCGAATCAAATAGTAAGTCTTCTGCTACAGTTATCTCGCAGCGTGTTAGCTTTGAGTAGGCTCTTGCCATGCCAAAGGATCATCATTTGTAAGTCCAGCACATCCTGCTCTGGTGACAAACATACGCTACAAGACCTCACCTGTGGATTGATTGAGCAATGCCCTCCGCGTACGCATCCATTGCCTCATCGGAGAATCCTAGACTCGTGATTTGGTAAACAGCATATTGCAGAAATCCTCCAGAGGCCGAATGTGTGTGAGTACCACTGTAACGCAGGTTATAGGGTAGCAGGCGCATCAGCGTTTTTCTGTATTGACAGTGACAAAGGATCAACACAATCGCACCGAAACGTACGTACCTAATGCTAAGGTTTTCAAGGTGACACAATCTCTTCTTTGAGCCATGTTGTTGCGGCAAAAGTTGCTCGAGACGCTGAGCTACTTTCAGTGTTAGTAGATCTGATCCACATAGAATATCAGCGCTAACAAAGCAAACAGTCCTCTCCGGATCAGCAAGTAGAGGCGCTGGTGCTGAATCTCGTGCCTTTTCTGTGACACGGTGCTTGCGGAAGCGGAGCTGCTGAATATCATGAGCAACTTCTTGTGGATTTTTTGCACCATTCGAACCAACACTGGCCACAATGAAGGCCCTAGATCGTAATCTCATGTGGATACCATTGCTACTTTGCGACGATTTGCCATATCCCTGGATATGGACCTGGGCGGCAGGACCAGTTCTGGAAAGGGAATGGTGACAAGGGAGGTAGTGATGTTAGTGATGAGTGGGAAACAGTAGCAACCTCAAAGAAAGGACACACGACACACATATCATAGATTCCAGAACCAATCAACAAAGGATAATCACTCGTCTCCTTGTCAATGGCGTGGACCACTGCCAAAAGTGTGAGTATGTAAGACCCCAGCTTGCTAAGCCTCATTGTCAAATCCTGATCCTCGGTTGTGACAGCAAAGAATTCAGCTAGTCTAGATCTCGGCTGTGAGAGGCTCGAGTCGTGCGAAATTTATCTTTATCTTTCCTTTGCCACAACTCTCAAGATCAGACGTAGTTATTATTGTCGGGCAATGACACAATCAATCACGAGCTTGGGCATGCATGTCCTGTACCGTAGCACCGTTTCGGTACTTGTTTTGTCTGGCCACACACTAGCTAGCTAATACGGTAGGACCTACAAGTATTGATTGTTTGGCTTACTAGCAAGTAATTGACTACACCGGTTAGGAACAACGGCCAGCATGGAATTGCTATTCAAACCATTTTCTCTCTCTAAACAGTTCGGTTAGAAAAAGCCAGGCGAATTCAAAGTACGCATACTGCGAAGTCCCAATTCGCTTCTTTGGATCCTCTCAAAGTGCTCTTCCAACCCTTTGCAAAGTGTCTGTTGTCCTTGGATGACTTTGCTCTTTGTGCTGGGATCGATTCCCTCTTTGCGCAGTGCTATTTCGAGGAGGTTCCAGAGAATGTCGATCTTCTTGTGGGGGAGGAAGTAAATATCCCCCTTCTCGGGAAGCCCTGTGCCTTGCGTGGCAGCCTTTTCTTTTTGCGAATCGAGCATGGCACAGGCGACCGAGCATGCCTCTAGAACCATTCCCCTGCGAAGATAGAGCGATAGGAGGGCCGACGGATCCCCCGGAAATAGAGCTGTGCCGCTGATCAACAAGCCTTCCAGCCAGTCTGGAGGAAGGCAGCCCTTGTCGAGGAAGCGTTGGGCAACATGCAGCCCGTACGGATGATCAGCGTCGGTTTGAAGATATGTCAGTTTCTGTAACAAGGCGGAACTTGCGGCAGTCCCAGCGGCTTGGATTCGCTGTGGACGTTTCATGATACGACTGGTGCTCACAAACGGCGTCCCAGCTGGCGAAATCGAAAGGCTACTCAGCATGTAGCGAAGTTGAGAAAGAGAGGGTCTGCTCTTTGGCACGTGCTCGGAAGACTGAGGGAAGACCCTATCCAGCAATTGGTCCAGTGTCTCTTCGAACAAGACTTTGGGCAAAGAAGGCGAAGCGCTTGTCTTGCTCACGGCAATAGCAAGCAACAGGTGACACAGGAAATACCCACCCTCCGATATCAAGTCAATGGCGGCCCTGTCGACAAACGGAGACACGACGCCAGATGGCGACAAGCACCATTCAGACAAATCTGTAGATCTGTCCTCGGCAAGCTTTCGAAAGATCAAACTCCAAACGGCCCGACACAGCAAATCTGTACACGTCACGAACTGTGTGGGATTTGAAATAAACAGCGTAAGGTATAAGGCATTGGCAAAAGAGCAGCCCACCTAAATGGGACATCTCCTACACCATCGAGACATACCTGATCTATTCGGCTGTTGCTTCCCGTCTTGTCCCCCGAGATTAGGAATTGTGCCGCAGTTTCTTCGACAAGACTCAACACGTTTGCGGCAGCTGTCGATGCCAACACTACATCTTCCACAATCAATTTCTCCCGTGCGACAACAAAGTTCGAAGCCTGCCCTCGATCACCAGATGGCCTCCCCAAAGAACGCAAAGCATTCGTAAATCGGAGGTCAAGTGCTTGGGCGGCTTTCCGCCATTCACCCCGGGAGACGTGAAGAGCATACAAAGCACCTGCATGATCAGGTGCCGCAATGGACGGGTCAAGAGAGTTCGCTCGAACAGAATACAAGTCTTGGGAGCACTGTTCTTCGAGAGTATCGACAGCAATGTCGTACAGGTCCAAAGGCTGTGATTGAGGTGTTGGGGTTGTCAAAAGGGAGAATTTGTCCAGCATCTCCCCCATAGCTCCTGCGTCAGCCATGCTGCTGACTAGCGTCTTAAAGCTTTCAATCCTTCGATTGGAAGCTGGGTTGTTTACACAAGCATCAAACGCTTGGCTCCATTCGCCCGCTGACACAGCCACGTGAAACAACCTGTTGTAAAGGCTTTGGTTTTCGGGCATACCCACACTGAACTCTGGCGGGAAAATATCGTGTAAATCCGCAATGGCACCTTTGATGAATGAAAGAATCAAAACATTCGCTTCTTTGTTCGGAGAGACATGGTCTTGCAAAATGTCCACCTACAGCAATCAAGAGTGAGTGAAACAAAAGGAACAACATCAACGCAAAGTCTTCTCCTGACACTTACCCGTCTCATTAGTGAAGACAGAAACATGAACTTGGGCAACAAAAGCTTCACAGCAGCTTCACTTCTCTCGTCCATGTGCCGTACGAGGCAAACGAACAGGGTTTTGACAGTATCCAAGTTTGCGAGGCGTATCACTTCGTTCCTGATTTCTCCACGAGTATCATAAACCAGACGCTGTAGCTCTTGGGCAAGAGAGATCTTTTCTTGCTCTTGTAGCTCTGACATGGATTGTGAAGACTGCTGAAGTATCTCCAGAGCTGCCTTCACCTGCCTGGGACTGCCCGCACCAGAGGAGGTCATGGCAAGCAGCTCACATGCCTTGACGCGCATTGCCGACTTTTCCTCCGCCGTCATGCGTTGCCGATCTGAGTCTACATGCATTAGAATGCACTGAGCCAGGGTCTCTTTTCTAAGGTTTGCAACGTTTGGAGTCTCCATCCTCGACGATAATGCCACTATGGGAGACATGAGCCTGAGAGCAAGGTTCGGGTAGTCAGTTACCGTGCCATGGTTGGAAGAACCTGGCAAAGCCGACAGCTCTGGAAGGATACTTCCGTTGGTTTCCCCGAGATTTTGTGTTTGCATCAAGACGGGTTTGAAGGAACGGCCGTGGATCTCTTGACTCAAGGAAACGACGAGACGAGTGGGACACTCCCAGACCAAAGCTGGGCGAGGAATCGAGCTCAGCAAGGCATCCATCGCACTCGTAGTAGCTCCCTGGCGAAGCTTGGGTCTCTGTGTTCTTCGGAAGAGGCTTGGTGTTGACTTGGTGGACGAGGGTGTTGCCACTCGTTGTGCTCCAACCCATCCAACTGCTAAAGATCTCACGTACAGATGGAAACTCGCCGTGGATAACTGGCTTGACCGAACCAGATGCAAAATGAGCAAGTAACGGGCCAGAAGCAATCGGCGGCTCGAGTCGATACATCTCGCGGAGAATGAATTGACAGCTTGTCGCAAATGACTGTTGGCAAACTGGGAGCCAACTGTTGCATGGTTGCAAAAATCATCTGAGCCCCTGCTCTCGTTCATGATGCCTTTTCCTTTTACTTGCTGCAACGCCTGCAACAAGCTGTCCAAAGATGCTGCCTCGAGCGATTGCCCCAATCGCTTTTGCTCCTGAACGGAAAACAGGGCTCCTCGTGATAGGTCAAAAGCAATGTCGACGACTCTCGAGAATTCCTCTGCAAAATCAGATGGTTCCATGTCATCTGCTTGCGGCGTAGCAATGTTGCGCCAAATGCGTCGCTCTATAGACAGGATCTGACGGTGCGTGTCGGGGTTAGATTCGATCAACTTGATCAGTTTGAGCGCAGCTTCGTCCAACTCAGTCAGCGCACCGGGCGGTGCGTTGCCGGGAGAATCGCCCACGACAATGGAAGTGAAACCCGCTCGAACTATGACTGCACTATCCGGCAGCTCCCCGATCGAGCTTGGGAGAAGGTACAGTCCCAGGGGTAAACGCACAGACTGTTCTTCTTCCCAAATCGCAGCCAAGAGTCGTCTCCAGCGACTAGCATGCATTCCCAAGAGGCGAATTCGTTCCCCGTCAGTGGAATCTACCACAGAGTCCAAATCTTCCGTTTCCATCTCATCGCCCGCGCCAGCTTCCGAAGCAGCAACGTAGCTGTCGTACACAGATGTTGCAGACATTTTTGGCGCTGGTTCGCCTGTAGCAGCCTCTTTGCCGGGTGACTTTTTGCGGGGAGTCAACGCCATTAGTTTTCGGTTCTCTGTGGAGCACCAATCCTGCATTGCCCGGAGCGTCTCGAGTTCAATGGACATCCCCTCGGTTCTAATGTATCTCATTCGCCCGTATAGAACTTTGCTGATGGCAGTACGGATATGCCGATCTGCCGGCGCCGTCATGGAACCAATACCCCGAGGATGGGCTGGACGGAAAAGATGTTTCATGAATCGGGCGTCAATTTCGTGCAGTTCGTCTTCCAATGACAGTGCGGAAGTCCCCTCCAATTCATCATCGGCACCAAGAGCATCCATGCGGGCCCGTTCCATTTGCGCCACACCGTCCAGAAAATCTTCGACGGGATATACGTATGGTTTGTTTTCGACGATGGAAACGACACTGGGAGGATATCGGACGGCAATGGTCGTTCCGGCATGGTTGTCGTCCGCGGAGGATCGGAACATTGCCAGCAGCGCTGCTCTCTTTCCCGGAGCAAAGTCCATTCCAATGAGCCCTGTGGCTCTACTGGGTACTTCCAGCACTTGAGAGGAAATCTCTGGTGACATATCACGGCAGTCTTGATAGCCAGAGGCGACAACCACATGATCATTGGACGACGGATTGGAAGGATCGTCGTTGGGAGAGTCGGTCTGGATGTGAGCCGCCAGAACGTAAATATGTTTGTACAATCGTGCTGACAGATAGACAGCGTTATGCACATCCGACCAGCTTTTATTGTCTGGCAAGCTTCTAATGGAAATTGGGTAGACTTCTAGTGGAAATAAGGACTGGTCCGTGACGGTCCACCTCCGAATGGTTCCGTCCGAGTGCAGCGTGAACACAAACGTCGGGTCAGCCTCCATATTTGCCGAAGAAGAAATGCAGAGAGCCGAGGTTGGTCGCATATCGACCACACCGTCGTCTGGCCTTCCAAAGACCATGTTGGCGGCTGTCGACTTTAAGCTGGAGTAGGTGGATTGCCTCGCTTTCATGTCTTCTTTGCACTGACTTTCTCTCCACTCTTCGCATTTTTGAGTATGCAGATTAATGCTCATGAGCAATGGACTGAGAGCAATCACAATGACAAAAGGGGAAGCGAATCCAACCATGGTGCTGGTGAGCGTAGATCCAGCAGCCTGTTCGCTGGAAATCTCCTTGATCTTCAACACCTCCAAATCGGAGTCTGTCTCCAAACTTTCCGGATGCAATCGCAACGTCACTACCACGGCATTGTTGGACACCAGGACCAAGCGAACGCATTCCATGCCATTTCGAAGCATTTGGACAAATGCCTGGACTTTGACGGTGTGTCCAAAGTCCTTGCTCATGGCAGACTGGAGATCCAATTCTACCGTTACGGGTGACTTTTGGCTGTCAGAGCCTGCCAGAGCGACCACCAAGATTCCAGGATCTTCCATCAAGGTAGAGGTGGTGAGAATGGCCGTAGCACCGCTGGAAAATGTCAGCGGTGACATGCTGGAGGAGCCACACAGGAGGCCATAACTGCTGCCATCGACCCAAGCTTCGGATGCCGATGGCTTTTTCTTGCTACTTTCTTCCAGCCGTTGAACGACCTTGTTCGCGTCGTCCACAACATAGCGCTGCGGCGCAGAGCCCTGAGAGGGAAAAACGATAGGAACTTCTATCATTGCCGACAACAACAAGATCGGCAACCTAAATAGTTGTTTGGTTGGCTTTTGGAGTGTTTGGTTTGTTGGTCTGTCGCGATGAGATTTCAGCAGTAAGGCTAGGGTTAAATTTCGGATCTTCCGAAATCAAATCCAGACCTCCCCAATGACAATGGTGGAACATCCCGATGAAAGAGGACAAGAGGACCACACCACTGATGCAAATAAATGCAATTACAACGGGGATAACTCTACTTTGAGTGATAAAACAAGAGGAATAACCATGGCCGCGACTACTGGAGAAGCCTCTGGCGAGGAGATAGTGCTGCGTATTGCTGTGGGTTCGGGCAATCCATGCAAAGTACAATCCGTAGTGGACGCCTTGAACCAAGTGATCCAGACAGCATCCCAGGACCAAAACAATCCACCAAACGTAAAATTGGAGGTGGAATCCTTCAACGTGGAATCTGGTGTGGCAGCCCAGCCCATGGGTGACGAAGAAACGCAGCTGGGAGCCAAAAACCGAGCCCTGGGAGCCTATAAAAACTATGAGACCAAGTTCCAGAAACCTCCTCATTTTGCGTTTGGGCTGGAAGGAGGCCTAGAATGGTCCCAAGACAAATCCATTCTTTGGTGTATGGCCTGGATGAGCTGCTATGGAAAAAGAGAAAAGATAGTTGTCGACTTGTTGGGTGCTTCCAACATGATGTCTACCCTTTCCAATGACCAAGCCGACAAACTCGTCTGGGGCTTGGCCAAGACTGCTTCCTTTCCCATTCCTCCTCCTGTTACAGATCTGGTGAAGCAGGGATTGGAATTGGGACATGCCGATGACAAAGTATTTAGCCGAGTAAACAGCAAACAAGGCTCTGGGACGGTGGGTATCTTGAGCAATGGAATCATCGACAGAGCGGCCTATTACACACATGCCATTATTTTATCCTTGTGTCCCTGGATAAGAGCAGATGTTTACCCAGAAGGATGTACCAGCAAAACTTGAAGGCAAAACACGAGCCAGTTGCAAGTTGCTTTTAGAGAGAGAGAGATGATGACATAAATACTGTTGTATCTCTACCAAAAATCTGGAGCATTAGTTTTGTCCCAGAAACAAACTTTTCCTGCACTCAACAGCAATCGCAAAGGAATCTAGAAACAAAACAGCAAAGTAGACTACCGGTAAAGAGATCAACAAGCGAGAACTAATTGCTACAGTAAATCCAGAGCAACATAGGGGGTCGGTGGTCAGCACCGCTCTAATCCACGGGTTCAGCCTTGGCCTCACCCTCCTCTTTCGCCTGATTCGGATTCATGACCATCCCAATCTGTTCTCCTTTCGTCTTGACCTCTCGATCCAATGTCTCAATGTCCACTACTTGGGCTTCCAACGAAAATTCATCGTCTGCACCCAAAAATTCCTGGCTCATCACGGTCACTACGAACTTGTACTTTCCGGCAACCGATGGTGCCTTGAATTGAAGCTTGACCCTTCCTGATTTCTGTGCAATGTTCCTAACCAGCATTGGCCATGCTTGAAAGAGACTGTCATCAGCGTTGACATCCTCAAATTTTTGGAGGTCCTCAGAGTCCAACTTGGCGACTAGAGGACTTTCCTTGTCGATCTCGTTTGGTTTGCCCTCTCCGTCGATTCGCTGTGCCCGCACAAGGAACCACCATCCTTCTCGAAAACTCTGAAATGCTACTTGCGGAGGAATTCCTTGCTTCTTGAACATTTCAATCTTTCGTGTTGTGAATTTTTCGGCGTGAGTGCGTTCAAGATCAACCTCCATACAACAAAGGTCGCCCGTAGCAATTTCTGACTCTCCAGGTGTTTCAATTTTCTTTTCTTTGATCTCCAAACGCGGCAAGCAGCCATATTCTCGTTTGATGACACCTTCGAACCATTCCACATTATCCCCCGTGCACCCGATTTTGAACTGCGCCACTGCCTCCACGATTGTTTTTGTGAGAGAATAGGAATTGAGGCAAATGGCCAACCGCAAGGTTGCCTCTAGCAAAACACCAGCTCGACTGCGATATTCCAGGTTGTTTTTGAAATAGGTTTGATCCAACAACTTTTTCTCTCCAGCAGCCACTGCAAGAACAAGACAAAAAAGCATAGATGAGCGTGCATCGATATCCATTTTTCAGCCCCAACGCAGCCCCACCAATCACAGCACCAGGAAGTACACTCACGCAATTCTGGGTGAGTATTGAGCATTCTCGAGTTGATTCGCCCCATGGTCATTTGAAGATTACGTTGCAGACCCGGTTGATCCAGAGCAGAGACTTTTTTCCCTTTGTAATCAAACTTTTGGTCCTTCAGGAAGTAAAGGTTCTTGGGAGGCCAGTGTCCCTTTTCAAACAGGGTGGCCTGGACCCATGCGTGTCCCACGACGCCTTCGTCAATTCCCTCGAGTGGCTCCTTGGCTTGTCCAGTAGCTTTCTTGAGCTGTTCCATGTGTCTGGCCTTTTCTTCTTCTGCCTTTTTGGCGAGCATCGCTGCCTGTTTGGCAGATTCATCTTCTTCCTCGTCGTCATCATCCCATCCTCCCTCATCAAGTTCATCAAAGGTCATGGATTCCTTCTTTTTGCTTTCGGGTTTGACGTTCTTCTTTTCTTCAATGGCTTCTTTGCGCATGACTTCAATCTTGTCTAGGTTATCCTGTGCCCATACAATGTTTTCTGGAGTGCTTGCAATGGCCAAGAGGACTTCAAAATGGGAAGAAGTGGGCGACAAGACTTTTCCAAGGTATCCCAGATCATCCAGGGAGACAGTATTTGTGTCCATAGTTGCTTTGACTTCTGGTTCCTTTTTGTTGAGCTGACTGACCACAATGTAGGCAATACCGGCAAACATGGCCAAGTAGAGTACCAACATGATCACGGCGACATTTCCTTCGGGAAAAATGAGCCACGAGGGCAATGCCAACTGGAAGGATGGGACCGAGACGGGTCCATCTGGATGTCCATATTTTTGAAAATTCTGCATTCCCAATTCATCCGTCAACGCTTCATAGGCATACTGGATCTTCATGAACATTTCCTGCGATCCTCCCTTGTCCGGGTGATGGATTTTGGCCATTTCTCGATACGCCGATGTGACGACCGCCTTGTCGCTGGCATCCGCTTCGGTAAGGCCCAATAGATCAAAGGGATCAAAGAGTGCATGCTCCGATTTGGCATAGGCTTCGTTAATGGTGGCGACAATCTTGCCGTATCCAGCGAGACACGCTACCAAGACGCCACACAATAGCATGAATGGATTCGAGTCCAAGGCAATGGCAGGAGCGGGTTTTCGAGAGAGTGGTTCGTAGGTCAAATTGACGTAAATGATATAGCCGGCACGAGCGGCACAAGTCAAGGCGACCATTCCCAACAGGGCCGCAACGGGCATCAGATGAACTGGAATCTCGTCTGCTTCGGACATGATGGATGATTATGAAAAAATATCTGGAAAGAAAGCTGTCGTTGCTATTTCACTGTTGGCAGCACTGAAATGGAAAGGCGAATGGAACAACAACAACAACAACAGCGGAAATGGACCTTTGCTTTCTAATGAATGCCAGACAAAGCTTTCCTTGAAAGTTGGGATCATCTATCGATCGATTGAGAGGGGGCGGGGCGATGATGCCCGATGCGTGGGTTCGGGGTTGTTGAACTTCGCGGAGCGTCCAAAATGGGGACAGGTTACGCCTGGAATGTAGAAGAATGACGCTATATGCGTGATTCAATTAGTCCTTATGACGTAGACCACGTACCCCACACACGTTTTCGTGCCACATGGGCTCATCAATGATCTTTCTTGAAGATGCGGAACCAATTTTGCAGCATTGCGGCATGCTCTGTTCTGCCCACAATATTATAAATAAATGTCACACCACCCCAATTCCACACTTCAGGAATCCACACTAGTTTTTGGAAACGAAACTGTAACCATGGTCAAGGACAAGGTCGCAACCGCATCTACTTTCTTCAATGATTGCATGACAGAGCTTCCTCCTGGAGTTTTCCTTGTCCTCGCTTTTGCCTATATCGAAAATGGCAAATATCTGAAGGCTTTTCGTCATGAGTTTATTGGAACGCTTCTCATGATTTCCTGCACATTCAGTGCTGGAAAGTGGATTGGACAACAGGACATGAAACTGGCCTGGACAGCCCATGCCATTGGTGTCATTGCCGCCGATTGGTTCGGAGGAGGTCCTCACGTCAACCCAGCAATGACAACCACCATGTGGGCTCTTGGAAAGTGCACCTACACAGAAGGATTGGTCCGAATAGCCGGACAAATGGGAGGTGGACTCATTGCCTTTCCTTTCTTCCATGCAGTTTCCAACTACCTTGGATTGGAACCCTTTGGTGGACCCGAATTTAACATGGAATCCGACGAGTACGAAGCTGCTGAAGCCGCTCTGTCCGAATTCTGTGCTACCATGTTGCTCGCCTTTGCTATCTACATTCTCAACTGGGAACTCAACTTTGGATCCTACCACTACATTATCAAGCAGTTCCTCACGGCTGTGGCCATTCGTGCTCTCATTGAAATGTTCCCCACGGCTGGACCTGCCATGAACCCCATGTTGGCCACTGCTTGGGCCGCGTTTGGAGTTGGTGCTGGATTCGAATTTCCCGAAAACTTCTCCCACTACTTTGTCTATTGGGTAGCACCCTGTGTGGCCGCCATTGTGGCCAGCTTTGTCTACGCTGTGTACTCGGGAGAATCATTCTTTGGTAGCAAGCTTCCCATTGGACCCATCAAGCCACAGCCAGCTGGCAAGGTCAAGAAGAACTAACTGAGATGGATATCTGGCGAAGTTGGGTTCTTTCGTACCGGTAGCATTAGAAGATTTATTGTTTTGTGGTCAATGTTTGTGAAGCTTTCTGTATAACTTTGCATACTATAAGCGTGACCAATTTATATTTTCTACTTTTCGGTTCTTCTATTCTACGAACGAAATTTGCACTTTTGTTTTGAACGGTGGATCGAAAGAACCTCCGTCATTGGTTGCTACTGTAGTTTCTGCGACATTTCATTGCAAGTTCTCAACAACTTCGGCTGTGGTATGAAAACAAATTGCAACTGAAGAAATCATTGGCAAAATGCTTTTACGGTCCGTTTGAGTGGCGCGGTCAGACTCAACTCAACCATGGTTTACCAATGGCGAAAACCTTACGAGGCCTGTACCGTATAATATATCGTTGCTTCGGGTGCCATTGGTCAAGTACGGTAGAATTAGCATGTCTATGAGAGAGAGAAAATGCTGTAGGATCGTACCGTTGATACAACATCGTGTAGAAAACAGTAATGAAGCAATTTATTGACAGGGCAGAATCAAGTTATTATGAAAGCTCAGAATACTAATCTAGATGTAGACACACAATTTTTTGAATCGTTCCTTCCCACCACAATGGCTTGGCATTTACAAAAGACACACAGATACCGGTACACATATTGGCTTTGCTTTTTTGATCCATCAACGTCCCGGTTGGTGGTGATAGTATCCCTGTTGCTGTGTTCGCTGCTGTTGCTGGTAAGCTTGTTGTTGCTGTCTTCGCTGCTGTTCTGGTGACATCATATGTAAAGGGGGCGCAGCAGCTGGCACATGTACAGGAATCACCATGCCAGGAGGAATTCCCTCCGGGACAACCACTTGGACAGGATATCCAGAAGGAGAAGATACTACCATTTGTCGATTGGGCATCAATACAGGTGGAACCTGCACCTGGATTGTCATGTATCCGGGAGGAGGCTGGTGGTATGGCATGCTCATGTGATGATAAGGGTTGTGGCCATGGTGATATTGATAGTTCATGTGAGGCTGCATATGCGGTTGAGGCCCCCGAGAGACGGGCATATTTTGTGGTTGTTGTTGTTGCTGCTGCAGAGTGGGTGTCGGATTGGGTCCCGGAGCACCAGCAGTCTTTGCTCCACCGGAAGTAAGAGCTGCCAAATTTATTCCTGTTTTGCTTGGAGGTGGCATTGGTTCAGATTCTTTTCCGTCCTCGTTTTTTTCTACAGGAGCATTGGAGGTATCCGTGTTACCAGCAGCAGCATTGTTGGGACTTGTGGGGTTGTTACTACCAGTGGATGGAACAGGCAACAGCGCTGCCAGGGTTTCCTCGGCATGCTTCTCTGCTGCAGCATCGCTGACGGCCACTTCATCTTTCACAATCAGTGGAGAAGTGAACGCTGGGATGGGCAACTTACTGGCATCAGGAGAAGATTGGAATGCTGACCAAGCAAAGTTATTTGCTCCGTCTGGCTCATTTCCCTGATTTTGGTGAGCCTCATTTTTGTTGTCATTTCCTTTGGAATTCTTCTTGCTGTTCTTTTTATTGTTCTTTCCCTTTTTATTTCCACCTCCGTCAGCCTTCGCGCCATCTGCTTTATTTCCATCCTTTCTGTTTCCATCCTTTGATGATCGGCCCTGTGACTGGCTAAGGTTTTGTTGCTGCTGCTGTTTTGGATTCTGTGCGAGAGTCTGATTTCCTTCTTTTTCTCCATCTCCTCCTCTTTGCTTATTGTTCTGCTTCTTGCGATTCCTTTTGTTCTTGGGTGGTTTCCCACCATGCGCCGCAGTACCACTCTGATCCGCCGGTTGTTGCTGCTTTGGGGCAGCCACAGCCTTTTCACCGGCGCCAATGCCCAACAAACCCTTCAACTGAGCTGTCGCTTCGTTGACCTCCTGATCCATCGTTCTCTTGGGGTCACTTGGATCGATGTACATGCTCACTCTTGATCCTCACGGATACCAAACCATATATGATAGCACCGCCGTTGCAATATTCTTCTTGTACCTCTCTCCGATGAGCAAGCTATAACAAGACTTTGAAGATGTCTTGCATGGCGTTGCGATGTTGCGTCGTTGGTCATTGTGCTGTTGCCGTGTTCGCGAAATCTGCTCCGAACTCTCAGTCTGTCTGTCCCCCGTCCAAGAACAAGCAGCCGGAGGCTGATGCCCCCAACTGTCAAGTCAAATCATTTACCGTGTTCAACTGGACACACTATTGATAGCAAGTCTCCATAGCCAGCCAGTATGGGCACAGTGGTATCGGTACCCATGGGTCCAGAGTACTGTGTCCAACAGAACACACAATATAAATCCCTATCCTTAACAAGGAAAATGTCCCTTATGTCTTTGGCAAAACCTCCACCGTGTTTATCTGAACACACTAGCGAGTCTGCATAGCCAGCCAGTACCGTACTGGTACCCATGCGTAGAAACTACTGTGTCCAACAGAACACACAAGATTAATCCCTATCCTTAACGAGCGACGAAAACAGCTGCAACAAACACACACACAAACACACACACATACACATACAGCGATAAAAGTGTGAAAGACCCTCAGTCCGTTGAGGGCAAAAATTCTTCGTCTCGGAAAATTGGATCTCTCAATCCTCACAAAATCTTTGGGCGTCAACTAAAAAGAGACGAGAGAAGGGATAGATCCGTGTCAAGGGAAGCAAGGAGATAGACGTGCCGACGGCTCTCTCGAATAGTATTGGGTTACGCAGGTCAGCAGCCTCAACATCATGTCCAATCCTTCTAATCCTCCTCGTTCTGGTTCTCCGACGGGAGTTGCTTATCACGCTTCGGGCTGCTCTTGCGGTCGATGTGGTGGCGGGTCTTCCTACGGTACCCCCAGGCATTATAACGAAACTTTCGTGGTGTCTCAACATTCACTGGTATATTGATAATGGACAGTACAAATGAAATGTGTTGGAAACTGAACGATCCCAACTTTAACTGTGCAGAGGGGACTACCGTCCAAGACATGGCAGGAACAGGACATTTATTTGATGAATTTTAGTGAGTTCCGTTTGGAATCGCAGCAGTTCGATATTCGTTGCGCTGTTTGCCAAGTGTGGGCTACCAAGAAGTGCTCTCGCTGCCGAGACAGCGTTGCGTGGTATTGCTCCAGGGAACATCAAAGGCAGCATTGGCAAACGCACAGCAACCACTGTGGATCCTCAAGAGTTGACGGCGGCACAATCTATGTCAAGAGAAATGTCCCATTCAAGGATTTTTCTGACAAGCCCGCGGATTTTGAATTCAAGCCCCATGAGGAAGTGCGTTTTGACACCAAATTCCCCCACGGGCAGCCGGGAGAAGGTTGGAAAATCCCAGAGATTCGGGCGGGTGACTACATCAGGGTCTGTTCCTCCAAGTACATTGAGGCTATTGCAAGGGACCAACAGAGCGGTTGTGAGTGGAAGTCGTGGCTGTTACAAATACGGGCATTGTTGTAGGCAGTTGCGCCAACAGCATTGAGTTGCCACTTCTGAAAGCCCACAACCTTCCCCATGATACCACTCCCGACCCCAGGTTTGACTTGGATGAAGGAGAATTGGTGGCCTTTCCAGTGACTCGTGTTTATGGGGTCGTACATGGGGAGAATTGGTGAGAAAGAGAGTCATTCTGTTCTCGAAAAGCTGGGGGTTTGCCAATGGAGCAATCTGGGGTGGCACGAGACAAATACATTTCGTTGACGTCGTCACATATATATCATGAATGTGACTGCGACTGGTGTAGCCAACACTAAGAATACTTTGGATACAGTCAATAGTAAAATTGGATTGCATGTCATATGGGCACTCCTTTTTAATTGTTCGTTTCTGTTGCCACTGTCACCTCTCGAAAGCCCCCTCCCCATAGCAGCAACAGAGTCACTCGGTCACCACCTCCTTGACATACGCACGTGTGTGACGTGGCGCTTTAACGCTAGTTTTAAGTCTAATCTCACAATATTCCGATCGTAGTTCACTCTGAATTCAGAAGCAAGTTCGGTTGGAATTTGCACATCAAGCAAAAGAAACTTCCTGCGTACATTCTACGCAGCCGTATACTAGGCGTTTGGCCATTGTCAAACAATTTCGAAAATTCGCTCTATTACTATTAACAACGGTAACTCAAGGGTGTAACTCAATACGAAGTTACTCCTTTTTCTTTCATTATCATTGCTTGCGACTCTTACTAACACAAAGCCGCAAGTACTGTTGTTTATTATTCATTTTTAGGTTCATTATCTCACCATGACGACGCTTGGTCAGTCGGGCAAGAATCCGGTCATTCCCTTGGTCTCTGAGTATAATGCGAGTGATGTTGCTACTACTGAGATGTTCCGTTCTTGGCAACATGCTGGCAACAACGTCAAGCGTAAGCATGACATGATTGTACTGGCAGACAAACAAGAACCGGAACACGTCCTTCGGGTTATCAAGGAGTTCGATCAAGTGACCGGCAATTCAGCATTGAATTTGGATACGGGGACATTGAGGGCTAACTTCTTTGTCAAGTGTCTTCAAGGCTCTGCTCGAGACAAGTGGAACGTGATTCGAGCAGCGCGTCCTGGTGCAGCTGTTGCTGACTTCGATGCCTGCATTACTTCGTTCATCGCCAAGTTTGTTGAAGACACGGATCTCGCTGATCAGACGCGATACTTGCAGACGGCGACCAAGCCTTTCAAACTCGATTGCAAGACTGTTGGAGGTTGTATTACAGACACCTCAATACAAATTAGTCGTTTATCCCAATCTAGTTGATAGGGGATATCTATATCTATTCTCTAGTTACATACATGGGGAGTTTAACTGATCTATATGGTCACCCCCTTCACTATATCCTTTGAAGTTGAATCAATCCCAGAAAACATGGAGAAAGATCACTTCTTGGAAATAGCTTAACAGTAAAACAGTATTTTACCTTTACTAAGCTAGAGTGTTACTAGCAACCAACACTATTTCCAAGAAGTTTGTACCTTCATCTCGAAGTTCATCTCGAATTCGAGATATCGACCATGGGATATCGACATCCTATTACATGATATCCTCAAGCTATAAGGTAACCAACATCGAGTCAAGGTTCAGGCAAAAAGGGCTCTAGCCTCACTGAGAGAGCTATCCCAACAGCCTAACAGGAAAAAGGCAACATCACGAAAGAACCATGCCTCACACACTGAACAAGCATCGGAGAAACGACCGAACGTCTTCCAAGAACCAGAACTGGAACACAGTAAGCATACCGCCTTGAAGCTCATCACTAACTACACTACTTCTATGCTTGAACGAAGTCAATCCTACAGGAAGTGACCAAGTTACGAACGATTGAAAATCGACTAAGCTGCTGCACCGAACCACAAGAACAAGCTCACAGGAGTGAGCGAGCCACCATCAAGACTTTGCGCTGTGGAAACAGCCATCGTATGCCACGTGGCTACGAAAACAAACTACAAGAAGACTCAAGAGTGTCGCCAAGCTATCTAGCTAGCTAACTAGATAGCTACCAGCCACGACAACTCCAACCGGAACGGAGCAAGGCTCTGTACGGTACGGAGCAGAGGCTACTGTACGGAGCGCAGCAAGGCTACCGCGCAGACGAACCGTGCAAGCCAACAAGAGCAACACGACGAGTGTCAACCAGGAGTGTTGCCACGGGAGAGGAACTAGATAACAAGTTCCAACAAGAGAAGAATTACCACAGAGGTACTTCCGTGGGAGTGTCCCTATCCTCACTATCAAGCCATAGAATCAGAGCCGATAGAAGAGAGGTGCGACGGAAAATTCCAACGCACAACAAGACGAATTACCAGGCCGATCACTCAAGAACGACAGGTCCTACTGAAGGACTGTCATACACGGAAGTGGGCTATAATACTGTCACTGACAGGCCCTGAAGAGTGCAAGCACTTGAATCGACCTCAGAGCGAGTTGCATCCATCGGCGACAAGCCGGATAACAGGAGCGAATTTGCGACATTTGCGAATTCCACCAAGCCAAGAACAACAGGAGTAGCCAGTCAACGAAGCAATCGAACGACTGCTACTACTGTCAACAACAAGAACAAAACGACGACTGCAACCACTGCAAGAGTCAACAAGAACAACAGCCGACCGCTACCACTAGCCCGTCGGTGCTACAGCTGCAACAACAAGAACAGCGACTGCTGCTACCAGCAAGTCGCTACAGCTACTGTTAAAGCCATCGGTCACCAATACTGATAGCGGCAACAGCCATCGGCCGATGATACCGATAGCAACAACAGCGCCATTGTGTCAATCGGCAACAAGAAGAAGAAGTGCCGACACGAAATTTGTGGTTTGTGAAGCCGTTCCACGGAACGGCAAAGAACAGCCTGCAGTTCAGCGAGCAGCCACTGAACGTCACAACGAAAAAGATATCCTTTCGCGAACTGGTATCTTTCCAGGAGTGTACGGAGCCAGATCCAAGCTACCGTTTGATCTCTCCGTACGTTGGCAACAAGAGCAGTTTCCGTGTCGGAGCCAGCTACCAATGCAGCCACCTATGCAGCTACTGCATGGTACCGGTACAGGAGTTACCGGAGCATGTCCTGCAGATAGCTATAGCTAGCTACCGGCACACAAGCTACCGCTACAGTGCAAGCCACCGGATAAGCAGTGCAAGCAGAACAAAGCTATAGGAAGCACAGGAGTGCATCCACAAGCACTGAATATTTTCTTTGGAGTGTGTATTGAGTTTGCACTCAGCACCTCCTACCTCTTTCATGGAGTGTGTATTGTGGCATCCCAGCCACAGCACCTCCTACTACCTTTTATGGAATGTGTATTGTGCAACTGAACCACAGCACTTCCTCCACTGATTACAGGCAAACCTGAGGCAACAACAGCCTCTAGGTAGGCAACAACAGATACCATTACAAGACCATGCCCTTGC